ACTACAGACTGGGTGGCTTAAATAACAGAAATTTATTTTTTTACAGTTCTGGAGTTTTCAAGTCCAAGATCAAGGTGCCAAAAAGTTTGGTTTCTGGTGAGGGCTCTCTTCCTGGCTTGCAGTCGGCTGCCTTCTTGCTGTGTCCTCACATGGTCTTTTATTTGTGCATGTGGCAGGGTGGTGGGGGGAGAGAGAGAGAGAGAGAGAGAAAGTTCTCCGGTGTCTCATTCTCTTCTCATAAGGACATCCGTCCTATCAGATTAGGGCCCCACTCTTATAACCTCATTTAACCTTAATTATCTCCTTAAAGATCCTATCTCCAAATACATCACATTGGGCTCTAAGGCTTCAACATATGAATTTTGGGGGCAACACAACTCAGTCCGTAACACGTGACAAATAGAATTTCAAAGACACTTCAAATTCTTTGCCTTTGGCTCTCCTGGTATTGCCCATTATCCTGTGTGCACGTGCAGGGTTTATACTTGTATCTTTCCAGGTTGAATGGATCCATGGCCCAAAAGCCTCTTTCTATTGGAAAATCCAAAGTAAAATTTCTGTTCTCATAACTTTGTTAAAAGATGAAGAGAGTGCCTTTCTAGTGGGTTCATATTCAAACCGTGAACCCATGTGCCCTGTTTTGAAATACAGCATTATATGGAAAAGTCTATCAGATGGCTATCAAGTCTTCTGCCCACTTTTTTATGACTCGATTCAGACAATGAACTGACACTGCAAACCTACAGAAGAGAGCCCCTGCGGCTTTCAAACAGCTGGGTGGGGATGCAGAACCTTCCCATAATTAAGGGAAAGATGTACCACACCGCCTGGGTAGGACTGACTGTGTTCTCCATTATGTATAAATGTCGCCATTATCATATATGAATGCAGGGGGCATGGTGAAATGAGACTTAAATCTCTACTATTAATTACCGGTTTCCTCGTTCTGTGAGGTGTTCTGCTACATCCATCAGCTCAGAGGATATTATTCATCTCTGGATTGATCATTTAAAAAGCACTGAAATCATAAAAGTAATAAGATTTCATCTTCATGATGATTTTTCTTTTCCCACAGGAGTGAGTTCTACCCACGATGATATCATATCCTTGCTTCTAAAAGGAATAGACTTTTAAAAATAAACGCATGGTTGACCCAATTATAGAAATGGAGTTTTTAAAACCCCAAGCATGTGGCTAGAAACTTGGAGGAGGGTTTTTCAATAAAAGTTATACCCCAAACAAACTCGCTGCAAAAGAAACTTCATCCTTGTGCTCAGAGACGAGTGTCTTACTAAAATTACTTCTCTGTTATCTGTTCTTTCATAGTGGAGATGTTGTCGCCTTTGAAAAATCTACTAATTACAGCAGCATTATCCAACAAGAAGGAACAGTGAGTGTTGAATAAAATGGATTGATTATAATAGACCCAGAAATATTCAGTAATTGCTTACTTAGATGCAACTATTTTTCTGTGTGTAATGTTCTTACTCTGGGCACCCCTTAACCATTCAGCCATTTGACCAAGATTTTTGAATGTCCACCATCTACCCACACAGTGTGCTGGGACGGACATAGTCCCTGTCCTTAAGGAACATCCTGTTTGGTTACACGTTCACTGTTTACCTGAATTTCTTCAGCTAAAATTAAAAAGGATGTATAGGCTGTTGGCAATAAATTCGTCTATAAATGTCTATTACCGTTATAGCTCTTTGAATTAGGACACCAGACCTATTAATAACCAATCTGTGACATCATGAGTTGATTCTCCTTTAGCTGGCCAAGATGATGCGATAGTATTTTGATACTGTCTTAGCTCAGGCTGCTGTAACAAATTACTACAGACAGGATGGCTTAAACAACAAACACTTACTTCTCACAGTTCTGGAGGGTGGAAGTGTCAGATGCTAGCATAGCTGGGTTCTGGTGAGGGCCCTCTCGTTTTGTCTCACGTGGCGGAAAGAGAGTGAGCTCGCCTCCTCTGGCCTTTTATGAGGGCGCTCGTCCCGTTCTTGAGGGCTCCACCCTCAGGACCTCCAAATACCACCACATTGAAAGTAGGGTTTTAACATAGGAATGTGGGGAGACACAAGCATTCTGTCCATAGCAGATACCATCTTATTGACAACTGTCATTAAACAGACAACCTTTTAAAAACCCATTTTGTGACCAGCAATCTTGAGAAAGAAATGTGGTGTGAAAGAAAAGCAGAAAACAAACAAACAAAAAAGTCCTACATACCCCCCATAGTTGAGTAGAACACAGTTTTGTCCCTGGGGAGTTGAGACAGATGTGGGACGCTGGTCCGTGCTGCATGGGCAGTGAGGCTGCGGTGGTTTGGGATCTCCACGGTGGGGGAGGGGGAGGGCCGTGGCAGGCCAGAGTGGTTAGGAAGGCTACACAGAGGAGGCGGCCTGCTGTGTTTCCCACTGCTGCTGCAACAAATTAGCACAAATTCAGCGGCTTGAAACAACTCAAACTTACTATCTGATAGTTCTGGCGGTTGTAAGTCTGACATGGTTCTCACAGGCCAAGGTCAGGGTGGACTGTGCTCCTTCTGGAGACTCTAAGGGAGCATCTATTCCTTGCCTTTTCCAGCTTCCAGCTCCCACATTCCCTGGCTTCTAGTCCCATGCCCCATCTCCAAAGCTAGCAAAGGCAGTCTGCGTCCCCGTGTGGCTGTCTCTCTGGTTCTCCGCAGCTGGGAAAGGTGGCCTGCTTTTAAGCACCCTTGCTATTACCTGAGGCCACCCAGATAAGGCAGAATAATCCCCCTATTTCAAGGTCCTTAACCTTAATCACATCTGCAAAGTCCCTTTTGCCACTTAAGGTAAAATACTCACAAGTTCCAGGGATTACGACGTGGACATGTTGGGGGGCCATGATGCTGCCTGTCACACTGCCCTTGAGTTGGTCTTGGAGGGGTCACTGGCTCCTCTGCTATAATAGGAGGGCATTCTTCTTGAGGATGTGGTTTGTATTCGAGCTGGGAGGTGATGACCAAAGCGTGCGGGCAGTAGGAAACCAGGTGTAGGGATGCTGGGGAGCCATAGACTTTGAGTGAGGTCGGTGGAGAGGACCAGAGGGCACAGAGCCTGTTGATGCTAGGCTGAGACTTTGACCCAAGAGGCTGTAGGGCACCATTGTGGCATCTTCAGGGTACATTTGCTTTGGGGATAGTAATTCTGGGAGCAGTGTTTTCAAGAATGCAGGAAGGACAAAAGGCATTCAGGAGAACTGATAGAGTAACCCAGGGGAGGCAGATGGTGCCTACAGGGGCAGGTGATGTTGGGAAGGTGTCCCCCATCCTACCTCCAGGGGCTGACACATAGTGCACACTCACTAAAGACTGAATAAATGAATGGTAATATGTAATTCCAATGACATTTCTTAGGTCTATTAAAAATCCCAAACTGCATTTAACATACCTACAGAATCTAAACAGAATTTCTCATTTTTCTGTTCGTTATTTTTTTTTTTTAGATTTAGCTTTTATTTTTTTTGTACATGTCGTTATGCAGTATTTAAAAGTTGGTGCCTTTTTAATTGATACATAATAAATGTATGTATTTCTGGAATACATGTGATATTTTGATACATTCAAATAATGTGTAAAGATCAAATTAGAATAATTAGGGATATCCATCACCTTAAACATTTATCTTTATGCTGGGTACATTTGAATTATTCTCTTCTAGCTATTTTGAATGTACAATAGATTTTTGGTAACTATAGTCACCCTACTGATCTATCGAACGCTAGGTCTTATTTCTTCTAACTGACTGTATATTTGTACCCATTAATCAACCTCTCTTTATTCCCTTTTTTCTATTTTACCAAATTGTTTCTCAAGCCCCGAATCCCTCTGATTTCTTCCTGAATGCCTCCTCCTGCAGGGATTGAAGTTTTAGTAGCTCTGTACCCTACTTGTACTTTAGGTTTCTGATTGTTTATGTTGTATAGGAAATATTTCAACTCCTGATTTTTAAAATATGTTTTGTGAAAGACCAGTTCTTTTCTGTTTGTAATGAAAGGATTATGCCTGTAAGTAATTTATATGGAGGAAGAGACCTAAGGGAATTGATTTCAGAAACTCATGAATTTGCTTTTTATTATGTTTTATAATAACACACTTTGATATTCTCCTTGTAATCAGTTTTTGAATATCCCAATATTACATTGTCAGATGACTTTTTCTGAAAGGGTGAAACCGTGTTGTATAATACTTGCCGTGTTGAAATGAAGAGATTTATGTAGCGTTAGACAAAGAACAGTGCGCTTAAAGTTGCAGTTCTCAACGTGAGCACACAGAAGGCCCAATTGGGAAGCTGGTTACAATTCTAGATTTCTGGTCTCATCTGATTTAGTAGGGCTCTAGGAACATGGATCCCAAGCACCCCAAGGGATTCTGATGTGGATAGTTTCAGGACCACACTTTGAGAAACACTGGCTTTGGGAATAGCAGCCGTAGCATCTGAAGAACATTGCTCTAACCAGGAGGTCGGGGTGTGCTCTGGAGAAAATGGATGCGGTGGGATTGCGCAGTGTGAGAGGCTAGCCCAGAGTTGAAATTGAGGATTCTGAAACAACTAACCATTTTTAAGATACAGGCATGATGACCCAGATAAGATATGGTTTTATTTCAAGCAGGGACAATTATATGGACAAGACTTACAGAAATATATTTGTGACATTCAATTATTCATAGATAATATTTTTATTGTACATTGCTATACAACACTTGTAAATATACAACTCCAAAAGCGACATTTGGGTCATATTTTTAAATCCCAACCCCTCCTCGATGGCCATAGTTTATAGAATTACAGACAAAAGTTAACATCATTTGGAACAAAATACGAGGGAGCATTACTGGAATCAATGTGCCCAGAGGTGTGGATAAAAGGTTACATAGAACACTAACATATAGTAGTGATGTGATTATATACCAGAAAAATGCATTTTATTCTAAAGAAATAATCCATTGTGTAAATGATTCCTAGTGTGAGGATCGTTCACCAATAAAGACAGAACCAGTTGGATCCCCCTTGTCTGAATTCAGGAGATGTCCGTTTTGGGAGCAAGAACTGGCAAAGAAATATTCCTATAAAACGGTAGGTTTGCACTCATGGGGGGAGATTGTGCAGTGTGATGCTTAGGGCAGTGAAGATCTTCTTATTTTGCCTATAGTCATGGTTGTGTCACACGGAGTAATATTTGCCTTCGCCCAAACCCGTGAAGCCCAACATTCCCTGCTTGCTTGGCGGTGGTGAGGAAGCCCAGGCCTTCCCCACACAGCCTATGGAAAGGCGCCACCTGGGACTGCTTCTCCCTATGACAGAGAAGGGAACAGATACATGGGTTTCCTAGAAACTGGAGCTGGGGGAGACGGAGGGGGAAAGAATGGAATTTGGAGAGAAAGGTGTCAGAGGTTGGTGGCTTTGTAGTGGCAGAAGGAACATGGGAAATATATGAGTTATGACATTGAGATGAAATCTACAGAGTTTTGTGGCAACAAGTTACACATTACTCCACAGAAACAAAAAACACCACGGCCCAAGCGAAGAGCCCAGCTACTGTCATATCAGAATTGCAACAAGAGCAGCCTCTGACAGCTTCAGAAAGGTCTCTGAGAATCAGTTCATTTCTGAAGTGGCTCGCAAGCTGACATAATTTTCCATATCCTTCCTAGGTGGCCTTTCTTACTGATGAATACTTCAACTATTGTCAAGACATTTTACAAAACGTGAGGAATCAAGAACTTGAGAGGGTAGGGGTTTTTCTATGAAATACAAGCATTTATGACTCATTATTGATTAACCATTGTATTTGAATAGACCCCTGAAGGGATCTCTAGGGGTGATCCATGGCACTGAAGTGCTTATAATGCAGCTGCTTTGTAGCTCGTGATATTCAATGCAGTCATTGGCAATTCCCTAAGGTGCTAATATGGATAACTTTACCCTTTAAGTACAAATTCAGCTATTTCTTTAGATCCTAATTTCAGCTGACTTTGAACAACCTATTGGTAATATTATTTACCCTGGAATTTTCAGTAATGCTAAAGAACCATGTCATCGGGACATGCTAACTGAAAAAGCAGGACTTTGAAGCAGAGTGATCTGGCATAGGTATTGTAATGACTGGATTTTATTCTAGAATTCACTATGGAAAACGTGAATAAATCGTCCAACTATTCTGAATTTCATCTTCTGCTTTAGGAGATGAAAACCCAGGGAAACACATGCTCATTCAAATGAAAGTTTGTCTGATGCTTTAGAATTCGAAGCACTTCAATTTTGAGAGATTATATTCATTCAGCACGAGTGCATTTAGTAACCTACGTGATGTAAAGCGTTATAGTGAGGGAGAGACCAAGATGCCTTCAGAATGGCCCCTGTCATGTTGAGGCAACGTTATAAATATCCATCCGCACTGGCCATCTCACACATTCCTTTCCTCCTTCACTTACTCATCAAATATTTAATTCATACCCTGTGACTGACACCATTACCAGGACTAGGAAAGTATTCTCCACAAGGCTTGAGAAACTTGTAGTCTGGTGATAAAAGGAGCAATATTGGCCAATAAATGTGATACGATGTGGCAAGTTCTAAAATAGCCATATAATTAGAATATGCAGGGTGCCCAGAGAAGAGCAGTGGAGAAGGCTGAGGAGTGGTCCCAAAGCAGGCCGTGTTGCTTACACAGTTGTTAGGTGACTTCTAATTGGATATCAAAAAAGAGGTCTTAGATTAAGTACTATTAACACCTCTTTCTGAGCTGAAAAATGATTGAGGCGGTCAGTTAGCCAGTCAGTGAACGTTTATTCTACACTCTCAGCTCTGCCCCTGTGGCCCAATCCCCATCCTATTACAATCGGCTGGAGCCCCCTTGTGGTCAGAAAGAGCTTCCCTTCTAGAAAACTGCCTCAAGAAAATTCGTTCCAAATTATCCTGTCCAACTGCCAGGCTCTCTGGTGGGCTGCTGGGGAGAATACTTCCAAAATACAGCTTGGGGAAGCTGAGAGGCAGAGTGTTACGTTCACTGGAACCAAATACATCCCATCGTCACCTGGGGCTAATGAAGCACGCACGGGGGATCCGTCTCTCAGGGCACAAAGCGAGTCTGGGCGATGTGTTCTGTCACCGTCAGGTGGAGGACTTGCTTACTTCCTTCTGGAAGTCTCTGCAGCAAGACACAGTCATGCTGATGTCGTTGCCTGACGTGTGCCAGCTCTTTAAATGCTACGACATCCAGCTGTACAAGGTAAGAAGACGTTCGAGCCTCTGGCTGTGTGCTTTCCCGAAAGTGACGGCAGTGCTGGGGCCGGGGCCGCAGCTCTCCCTCTCTGGTCTCCACGGACGCGGGTCCTCTGAGGGGTGAACGGTGGGCCTGCGGTTTCGACCTCTGCCTAATGCTCGGCTTTTCTTTTTGAATTACCTCATGCAAAGGGAAAGCCGTGCACACACTGACCTCTGGCTCCAGTGCCAGCCAACCCCGGATTCAGTCAAATTTCAGCAAAAGAAGACATTTTAAAATGAATAATCCGAATAATTGCTTTGGAGTACACATAACTGCTGGGGTTTTTGTTTTGTTTTGTTTTGTTTGAAGCTCTAGCTCTAGAGTGATTATTGTATTTGGAGGGTGAGTTCTGTGTCATTCCTGGGGTGAAAATGTGGTCCCCTTCCATGAATCACAAACCTTACCTTTTGTTATTTTTCAGGAAACAGTCTAGTGCTTCTAAGTTTTTAACATAAAGATTGAAAACTGAAGGCTGGGTTCAGCTCTTAAATATATTTGGTTTGACCCACCTAGTAGTGGCCGGGCAGTGTTTTTTTAAAAATTTAAATCGACTATCGATATTTTAAAATCTTTGAAAACAATTTAAATCCTGGCCACACCAGCCTGAAGTCCTGCACAGGACAGCAGCTGGGCCGTGGGGTGGCTGCCCCCTCGGACCGGGCAGGGCCTCCTCTCTGACTTGCCGTGACCCTCCCCGTCCCTGCGGCACGCGTGAGCCGTGAGCCCTGGTCACCTGTCGTTGGAGCCGGCAGAGTCGCCGTGTCTTAACACTCCTGTTGCAGGGAATCGAGGACGTTCTCCTGCATGACTTCCTGGAAGATGTTCCCATTGAGTACCTGAAATCAGTGCTGTTATTTAGTAAGAAATTTAAGCTGTGGCTTCTTAATGCCTTGGAAGGTTTTCCAGCCCTCTTACAGATCTCCAAACTCAAAGGTAGGTTTCAATGGAAAAAATAAACCAGTCCCCGAAGGGTAGAGGAAGCGCGCCCCGTCCACGCAGGCGCGGCCTTTCAGCCGCTGTGACCGCCGCTGCGCTGAAGGCCGGGCCTGCGCAGCGTTTCCGACCTTTCTTTCGGTGCCCCTGATGGAATCTTGTGCTGATCCATCCTCTCCCTTTTTCCCTGTTCCGCCTTCTGGATAATAACACGGGCTGCCGGCAGGGCCCGGGGGCTAGAGACGCGGGGCAGGTGCCACGGGCAGCTGTAAGGAGAGGAGGAACCTGGCCCCGCGCCCGCGGTCCTCGCTCGCCGGCTCTAGCATCCGGCCCGCCTCTGCGTGCTCCGTGCAAAGACTGTCCCCTCCTCCTTAGAAATTCTTCCCGTGTCCCTCCTTCCTCACACCTCCGGGACGTTCACCAGGCGTTCCCGTCTGTGCAGTGTCGCGTCTCCCCGCCGACCGTCTATAATAGATGCTTCTCCTGCCATCTGGCTGCCCGGTTGTGGTCCCTGAATGCTCCGTCCACCAGGCCGTCTGTCTGCTCGAGGCCCACAGTGGCTTCCTGTCTGGAGCCTGAGCCGCTCTGCCAGTTGGTCCAGCCCCCCGTAGACCTGCCCTCTCTGTGCCCTTCCAGCCCCACGGCCCTTCAAAGGCCTGCGCGTGCCCACCGTGTGGGCGCCACGGCTGACCGTCCTGGACATGCCCATTTCTCCCTCATGCCTTGGTGAGGTCTTCCCATCATTGCCTGCCGCTGTCTCCAATGCCCCTTCCCCACACAGGCCACCCGCTTCTTGGCCAGCTCAGGGCCACTCCCCTCACTAAGTCGGCACCAGTTATTTCCCCACATTTCTGAGTCTCGCTTCCTGTGCAGTTGTTTCCTGGTTGGCGCAGGTGGGGGACTTGTCTTCTCAAAGTGCCTACAGCAGAGGACCAGGTCTAATCTTCACCCCCTGTCCCCGCACCCCAGCTGTGTTTAGTGCTCACACTGGGTACCCTGACCCCAGTATGCGGCATCTAGAAATTTGGGACATGGCCAGGCTGGGCCTGTGGGCCCATGTGGCTGCCGGCCATGAAGGCGGCAGGGAGGGGGCTGCAGACAGAAAGTGAGAATGGGCTGCCGTACAGGGGTCCAACGAAGGGGAGCAGAGGCCCCGCTCCAGTTCCGGGTGGCCACTTTAACACCTGCCTGAATTCAAGCCGCCGTCTCTCTGTCGCTTTCTTGGTTACTTGAGCAGCTTCCTAGTTGATCGTCCTGCCTCCTGCCCCTCCGTGGCCACACTCCCCTCCACCCCCAGTGATAACTGAAAAATAGCGGTTTGATTAATTGCCACCTTCCCTGGCCCCGCTGCCCAGGCAGCCCACTCCCCTTCCTGCCTGCAGTCACTCACGGTTTGGCCTCTGGCCCCATCCCTGGCTCCATCTCCCCAGGGACCCCCATGACCCAGTGGTGCTCCCCAGCAACACAAGACTGGTTGTCCCCCAAAAGGACCTTATTCCTGCCATTTTCTCTGCCTGGGCTGCCTGCCACCCTCATTCCCCATAACTCCGACCTACGCCTCAAAGCCCAGATTAAATGTCACCTCTCAGTGAAGGCTTCCTTGATACCTTCTTCCAAACAGGCCTCCCCCTTCCTGGAACCACTCCCTGTCTTCTCCCCTGTGCGCTCACACTTCTGTCGGGAAGTGTCTGCGTATCTGGTGACCCATCCTGTGGTGGATGAGCCCCTTGAAGGGAGAGGCTGTCCTCCTCTGTCCGTCAATTCCATAAACATTTATTGAGCAACGCTGCACGAGTGTCCTCCTAAGTATTTGTCAAATGAATGAATACATTCAGGAGGAGAGCACCCCCTCTCTCTATGTGTTCTCTTTGCATCCTTTCCTTTCCTTTGAGCGTTTCCCAAGGAGAGCGCTGTAGGGATGAGAAATTTGGGCGAGTTCAGGGTTCCCCTATACTCCTTTGAGCACCTGTCTCAGTGCAGTCTGGCTGCTGTAACAGACAGGGTAGCTTATAAGCAATAGAAATTTATTTCTCACAGTTCTGGAGGCTGGGAAGTCCAAGATCAAGGTGCCGGCAGATTGGGTATCTGGCGAGAGCCTCCTTCCTGGCTCATAGTCTTTTTGCTTTGTCCTCACATGGCAGAAGGGGTGAGGGATCTCTCTGAGGTCCCTTTTATAAGGGCACTAATCCCATGTGTGAGGCCTCCACCCTCATAACCTAATCACCTCCCAAAGACCCCACCTCCCAATACCATCACCTTGGGAATGGGGATTCAACATATGAATTTGGCTGGGAGTAGGTTGGGGGAAAACAAACATTCAGACTATAACAGCACTCATGTCAGGGATTACTTAATTTTTCTGGCACCTGGGGACATTTTAGTCAAGTGGCCCCTGAGAGAATCTCCAGCCATTCTGCAAAGGGACGGCAGATGGGGGGAGGTGAAGATGCCATTCAGGCAGTTGTGCCTTCCCACTCAAAGCCTGTGTGCCCCCCCACCACTGCTGCACAAAAGAACTTGAAGTTATAGTATCAATAATGGCCACATGTATTGTTCTTAACAGAAGTCACTGTGTTTGTCAAAAGACTAAGAAGAAAGACACACCTTTCCAACATGGCTAAGGTAGGTTTCAGCTGAGCAGGCAGGAAGGAACAAAGCAGTTTCCTGAAGTGAGAGGTGAAAGCTGCAAGTGCCTGATAAGAGCAGGTGGCAGCTCTGTCCAGTGGGAAGGCAGAAGGCAGACAGGAGGGCCTTGCTGGCCACTGGCTGGGGAGACCCACTGGGCCCCCGACTCACAGCCAAATGCCCACTCCTTGCCACCCCACCTTGGAAAGGTTCCAATCTCTCCCCAGGAGAGAGAGCAGGTCAACATTGAAAAGATGCCTGAGGGAGGCCCCACACAGAGATTCCAGCCTTAGCCATCCTGTGTCAGAGGTGAGAGGGCGTTGGAACAGAACAGGACAGACAGACCCTTCACCCTGTCTGTGGCCCCGTGGGTGGTACAGGCCACTAGTTTCCTCAGCTCTGACCTCACTCCCAGGTGATTCTGTAGCTTCAGTGTTAGAGGGAGGTTGAGAAAGGCTGAAGAAAAGATTCTGTGATGCCAGCACCCAACCTGGGCCACCAGGAGTCTGCTCTGAAATCCTGGGTACTGTCGCTCTGCTCCAGATCAGCCTCCGAGAGGAGCTCGTGGTCTTGGGTTGAACCTGCACTGGGCTTCCACCCTTCCAGTGCAAAGCCCACGCCAGACCCTGAGCTCGCTGGGGCTGGGACCCACTTGAGTCTTCCTGGTCCATCCTGCCCTCCAGGGCTGTCACACTCGGAGCTCAGTCAGTCTGGCGGGGGCTACAGCATGTCCTTCCCCTCAGCCCAACCAAGCAGCGAGTGTGTGTCCTAGAGCCAGCCAGCTCAGCACTGAGCCCCCCGTCTTTACACCCACTATCCCTTGGGATAGTCACTTAAGTCCCCGCAGTGTCCTCCTCTGTAAAATGGAGGTGGAGGAACTCTTAGGATTGGTGTGAGGGCCACCCAGCGTTCATCCTACACAGTCCGAAAGTGTTGGGGATTAGCTTGTCCCATTTGACAGCTGAGAAAATCAGCTCACGCAGGCCAAATTCGTCGCCCGAGGCTCCCAAGAGGAAAGGACAGACGTCTTCTGAGTCCCCGCAGCCACCCCCTCAGAATCGGTCCATGCTATACCTCCACATTCCTCACAGATGATCCATCACCCAGTTTTCCTCTCTAGAGTAATTGGGGCATGTGGAGTGGGGTGCAGAGAACTAGCAACAGCAGTGCCCAGATAGCCCTGAACACATCTGTCCAGGAGCAGAAGCTTTCTAAATGTTGGTTTCCAGAAAGGCAGTTTAGAATGTGTGACATTTCAACATGTTCATTGTCATTTAAGATTCCATTTTAGCAGGTAATACCAACATCCACTTTTCTCTCTCCTTAACAACGACAGAAAAATCTTGGCAATTTAGAGAAGGATTAGGCAGAGGTAACGTGACGAGATTTAACTGAATATTGTGCTTCCCCCTCCTCTTTAGACTATGAGAATGGTATTGAAAAATAACAGGAGAGTCAGCATTCTGAAGTCGGATCTGCACGCCATCCTCACTCAGGGCGCCTTGGATATTTCTAAGAAAGCCCTGGCAAGTGACCCAAGCAACGTGGATGAGCTGGAGAACAACTCAGAGATGAAATGTAATCTTCCTTCCGCAGCTTTCTTTATTGGAGGGTTTGCTTTATATTTGGTGCTAGCGTGGCCATCAATAATTCATGAATTTCTCAATAGAAGTAGAACGTCATCATTCTTTGATGTTCTGATTTAGCAGCTCACACGTCTCTTTCTGCAGGGGGCGATGAGTGCCCTTAGAAATGCCCTGGGGCCATTGCTTCCAGCACCCACGCCGGGGTGCCAGGGTCGGACAGGGCAGCCGTGCTAACACGTGAACAAACGGAACAGATGAGTGCAATTGCTTCTTGACAGTATTTCTCACTGGAGTATCTCCTTTGGGAAAAAAAATTAATTCTGTATCTATCTTGTACATGCATAGATTCAAGTGTCTCTTCGATCATGTCTGAAGTGGACTGAGTTAGCTCTGTGCCTCACCAGCCTCTGCTGTCACTCTTGTTAGCAGCACCAGTATTATTTTTAATAGTGTGAAGTTTAATTATTTTTCACAACCTGACATTTAACAATGGTGCTTTTACGATATTTGATTAGTTCACAAACAAGTGATATGAGGTATGTGGATATTCTTGCCGTTTGCTATCTGACTGATTATTGTAATTGTTTTTCAAGAAAAAAATCTCCCTTCCACAAAGAGCTCAGACTGCTGGCTGGTGTGCATGTGTTCACATCCCTGGGGGGCAAAAGTAGTGAAAGAAGGAATAGGGGGGCTGGGAGTTGTTTCAGGAGGGGGGCTGCACAATGGTCATGACCCCCACACCCCAGATTATGGGTAATGGGTCAATCTCTAGGCCCTCCTATGATACTTACCAGGAGGGTGGCCTGGGTGCCCTTTCTAAACACTCCCTGCCAGGATGCCCCAGGAACTAGTAGCTTCTCTCTCTGTGGGCATAACCCCTTCCTAGTGCACTCAACTATGTATAAAGCTGCCTGCCCAGTTCCCGTGGGCTCCATCAGGGTGTCAGCCATGCCTTATTCATCTTGGGCCACCTGGCATAGTGCTGGCACAGAGTAGCACTTCAGTCTTTCATGACTAGATGGATACACTGATTCAGCAATATATAAAAGCACCACCTATAAATTATCCCATCCTCTTTCTTTGACCTTGAAGTAGGGCTGACCTTGGTAGTGTTGTAGCAGTTATGAAAATACTGAAATATGTCCCTTCTTGTTGTTAAGTAACCTCTGCCCACTCCCCTTCACTGTCCTGCCCCTTGCTTGTGTTCCCTGCCCCTACTGCCCTGGCTGACCCAAATCCCAGATCCTCCCCTAGGGTGCTCCCTTTCCTCTTTTGCAACTAAAAGGTTAACACCTATCCCAGCAGGCTTCCCAGCAATGATAGTTCTGATTAGTAAGAACTCAAGAGGTCCCCCTCCTAGGGCACTGGCTGCTCCAGAAATCTCAGGTGGTCCCGCAAACTGTGCTCTTGCCCCCAGCATGAGGTCTCCCAGGTGCCTGCCAGACTGCCCACTGGCCTGGCCGGGGCTCCTGTGCTCCTGGTGCTTCCTTGCAAGTCCCTCCAAGAGGATGCAGAGTTCTGCAGGGAGACAGCACACTGACAGCCACTGCTGACACCTGGCAGGCAAATGCTTCCGAGGTCCAGGTGAACCTTGCCCAAACCTCAGCTGGGAACATAGCAACCTACTCGGTTTTCTAAACTCTGCTTATTAGGCAGAGGCAGTCAAAAAGTTGGGAAGGCCAAAGGCTGTTCTTTGTCTGTGCTACCTGTGCAGGTGGAGGACCCGAGACCTGATGTCACATGTGCTCGCTGGGGCTCCCAACTAATTGAGTGCATAACCCCAGGCGAGGCACTTACATCCCTCAACAGCTTTGATGTCCGCCATACTTAAATGACACTAATAAACTAGCCCTTTTATGAAAATGGCAAGGATAGGTGAGGTCATGTCTGTATCTTGCAATGAGCTCATTTGAAGACAGGGACTGTATAATTGCAAGGTGTAGTTATTATTTCGAAATATTTCTTTCCATTTCAACAAGTGGCAGAGGTGGTTCATAACAGCATGACTGTATGGCTGACCTAAATGCCTGCGGAGGTGACAAATCCAGCCTTAGAACTCATCCTTTGTGTTCGAAATGAGTGTGAGGCCTTGGGAATCCCTTTGAACTATTGTTATTTTGTCCCCTAGGTTACCTAGTACAAAAGTACCTTTAGAGAAATTCTGCTGTGGTGCACAAAATCTTTTTGTTTGTTTTGTTTCTTTGTAGGTTTGAGCAGTTTAATTTCTTTGCTGGGAACATCACCAGATCTCAGTGTATTCCTAAACTGCCTGTCTTCCAATCTCCAAGTGTTTGTCTTCCAGGTACAAAACTGTGACTTTTTAAAGAAAAGAAGTGGGTGTTGATCATTCTAGCTAAATGATAGCCTGAGTGCCCACTGCCTGGGGCTGTGAAAAAGAGGTTCCTCAAGCTCTGATGAGAAATGTGTCGGGGCTGGCATGGGTGTGAGGGCAGGGGTTGGACTGTCAGCGGCAAGGCAGAGAATGGAGATCACACAACACAGTGTGTGCGTGTGCACGTGGGTGAGCATGCATGTGCACCCAGAGGGAGTGTGGAGGAAGGGGAGAGGTGCTGTTCGTTTGGGCAGAATGGCACTTCGTGTTTTGCAGACGAGTCCCAGTAAAATGTCTGGCTTGATTTCAAAAGCTCAGAGATGATTCAGTTGCAGATGTGGGTGGATTGATCCTTCTGGTCATGATGGCTCTTCGGAGCACTTCTGTGGGGTCCTGGCTTGGTTTTCATCATCATCTGCGTGGCCAGCCACCCTTGGAGAGCTGAAAATGCCATCAGAGAAGCCTCAGCACCTTGCTCCCCTGGGCATACAGTGGATTAAAACGTAGAGGGAGGCAAGGCAGCTGTTGAGACTTCGTGCTCCCCAAGGCTGAGGGGGTTGGGAAAGGCCTTGAAGAGAACATGGGACTTAAACTGGGACGCGAAGCTTGTGCAGGATTAAAATAAGCTGAGAGAGGGAGACAAGGCATTCGAGAGCAAAAGTGAGCATGTGGGGAACAAAGAGCCCACTTAGGCAAGAAGGAACAGAGGAAGCTGGGGCAGAAGGCAAACACTCCAGGGCCAGGGGCTGGGGGCTGGGAGCATGCCTTGGACACTCTCCTTTAAGGGTCTGGCTGGCCACATTGCTGACGCTCCCCTGTCCCACCCACCTGGGCTTGTCCTACCCCTGACCTTTGAGTTGAGGAGGGGGCAGAAATAATAACTGAGACCACAAAGACTGCAGGGTACTTTGGGGTCTTAAACCTCCTGGAGATGAGCCAGAAAACTCCCCAGGAAGGAGCTAAGAAAGTCAGTTCCAACCTTCAGCAGGTGTCTGTTTCCATTCTTCACTTACTGAAAATAATCATTCCAGATTCTGTAAGGTTTTTATTCCTCCTTGTTGGTCTTAGGCAAAGCTTATTTATAACAGCACTGACTTGTCCAGAGATGCACGGCTCTGAGACATGCATTCATCTGCTAGCTGAAGGCTTATACTTCGGCACTGATAGAAGCTGTCCATAATCTGTTCCTGGTTTCAGATACTCTCTCAGCCTCCAACTTTAACCAGGATGAGCCCACTGAGATCATTAATACCAATCCTGCCATCCTCCGTGCGCCCTCCGTGCAACACCATGTGTTTCCCAAGTCTCCATGGTCCTATCTTCAGCCTTCACAAATGAGGCATGCTAGAAAAATGGTGTCACTGCATGCCTCTGACGGGCTTGTTTTTGTAGAATAGTGTAGTTGATTTTTAAAAAACAGACTATTGGCCGGGCGTGGTGGCTCATGCCTGTAATCCTAACACTCTGGGAGGCCGAGGCGGGCGGATTGTTTGAGCTCAGGAGTTCGAAACCAGCCTGAGCAAGAGTGAGACCCCGTCTCTACTAAAAATAGAAAGAAATTAATCGGACAACTAAAAATATATAGAAAAAATTAGCTGGGCATGGTAGCACATGCCTGTAGTCCCAGCTACTTGGGAAGCTGAGGCAGAAGGATTGCTTGAGCCCAGGAGTTTGAGGTTGCTGTGAGCTAGGATGACGCCACGGCACTCTAGCCTGGGCAAAAGAGTGAGACTCTGTCTCAAAAAAAAAAAAAACAAAAAAAACCCCAAACTATCGTAAATAAAACACTTAGAAGGTTAAAATGCAAACCCTTGGGCTTGTCAGAGATGACTGATGGCTTCAGTCATCTGCATCTGGCAGTATGCTAGCAGAGGGAAATGTCCAACGTTGTCGCATATTTTGTTCTCACTGTCCTCAGTGCAACTCAGGTCCCAGCTGGAGGGACTTCACATCCACCCAAAGCTCACAGAAACCCTGTGGTATGTCAGGGGCTTTCAGTGGGGCAGAGGGAAGGGAAGCAATGACAGGAAAGGGCATTTTGCCATTTCTAGCCAACGTCTCCATCTCTTCCTCAAAGATGTGGCCAAGCCAGTGAGGGGTCCACAGGCATGTGACTGAGAATTAGAAAAGGCTTCGGAGCATGCACATCAACATATGCACATGAAATGCATGTGACTCCATGGTTGGTAGGTCACTTTGAGTGTGGCCCAAGGCTCAATCTAGATGGAGAGTTTTTTAGTCTGTATGTTAGTAGCATCTTACTGGCACCCAGTTTGGTGCCACTTCAGGCTGTCAGATGACCTCAGCTCCACTGGATGCAGGGGCCAGGACTTTCCAGTCCTGAGATCAGTTATGCAGTAGGTGGCCAGCTTTGTGCTTTCCCAAATAAACACCATCGCTGTTCATTATTATGGAATTCTGTGCCCCTTTTTCACAATCAGACTTGACACACAGAAGTGCAGGTGTAAACCAGCCCTTGCCCTCTCCAAGGCCAGTCCCTGAGGGACTTCAGTGAAGTTGAAGTGTTTCTATCCGACTTCCAAGTGATCTCTTTTTAAAATTTGCATAGTGATTAAAAAAAAAAAGTAGGCCGAATTCTGACCTCCCTCCTCTCCACCAACTTGAAAGGGTTCCGCCCTGGAACCACGGGGCAAGACCAGAAACCGGTGTTTGCAGCTGCCTCAGTTCCTGCCTTATCATTTTGCCTTCCTCTTCTCTTTGGCTCTTTAAAATGTGTGTGCGTGACAAATGTGCGCATTCGAAACATGCTATGCTTCTTGATTTTATCATAAACCCAGCCTTTTTTCTCACAAAAATGTAATAGCCAAGCAGAAGCAAAGAGGAGTTTATCAAATTAGCCGCCAGCTTCCAGCTAAGATGGAATTTCCTTCTCACTGCTGTGAGCAAAGCCATGACCCTCTGCCACAGAGACAGTTTTGGTAAGTCAGAGAACGCAAAAACATTTTGTATTCTGCCTTTTCAAAATATCGTTATAGGCCAGGCTTGGCGGCTCATGCCCATAGCACTCTGAGAGGCGGAAGTGGGAGGATCTCTTGAGCTCAGGAGTTCGAGACCAGCCTACGCAAGTGCAAGACCCCCGTCTCTACAAAAAATAGAAAAATCAGCTGGGTGTGGGTCTGTAGTCTCAGCTACTCAGGAGGCTGAGGCAAGAGGATCTCTTGAGCCCAGGAGTTTAAGGTTGCAGTGAGTTATCAAGACGCCACTGCACTCTCCCTGGGGCGACAGAGTGAGACTCTGTCTCAAATAAAAAAAAAAAAGTTGTTACAGCATAAGTATTTTGCATATTGCCATGTAGAATCCCATCATCTTCTTTTAACCTTACAAAACCATAGTCATCTTTTTTTTTAATGGCAACGTGATAGTCCATCAAACAGATGGACCATGCTTCTCTTTTGCATTTCATCATTGTTGGACATGTAAGAAACTTCTTGTTTTTGAATTATGAGCTTTGTGGCATTTTGAGAAAAGCCCTGAGAGGGACAACTGAGTTGGAGAAAAAAATGGGTTCTTTGGAGCACCCACACTTAACTTTCAGGAGTAATGATTGATAATGTCCCCATTGTATGCAGATGGTGGAAAGAGTGAAGTAGTTTGCATTTTGCAAACTTCCTGGTCTAACCATTAGTCTTCCTCTGTGGGGGGAAGATCACATCTTTGATGCAGATGCCTCATAAAAAGAGGGTTGTAGGAAGGGAAGTTCACCACTCAATCCACCAGCTTCATGAAATGGATGGGTTCCTCAACAGGAATTTTTGTATCCCCACAATGTCCCAGGCACCTTCCTAGGCACAGGGCATATAGCAGAGGAAAGACGGACAAAGTCTGCACCCCTGTGAGTTTATACACTAGTCAGGGAAAATGATCCCTGCTCCAGAGGGCTATCAGATGCCCTCACAACATGCAGGCAAGAAGGAAGAGGAAACAAGCCCTACTGTAGAACAATTTTGCAAATACCCTGAAACTCCTGAGGGCTGCTGCTATAAGCTGCCATATAGGTGACACTCATTTACAACGAGAGCTCCCTTTAAGGAAGTCCAGACTGACCCTGCTTTATGCTAATGATCTTCCAGAGCAAAGGGAGAGAGGTGTAATCACAGAAAGAAATCCGGCCCTGTAGTTGTTGCTGGTCTACCTTCTCTGGACCTCCATGTGAAGTCAGTGTATTAACACCAGTAGAATTTTTCTCTTCACATGAACAATGCTTTTCATAAGTGTAGACAGGCTGGGAGTTGTTGTCAAACTTATTCCAGACCAGATCATGCAATCCTGCAGTGACCCCAGCCAGATCCATCAAGGAATAACGAACACAATGTAGGGAAAAGTTGTGAAGGGCTTTGAAATGGACAAAAAGATCACGTGAAATGGACTAAAGGCTTTGAAACAGACAAAAGGCTTTGGAATGGACAAAAAGCTTTGGTCTACCCTTCCCTACATTGTCTTTGAGGTATTTTTACCATTCCGTAAGTTGTAGCAAACTGATGATAACGCAGATGATCCTCATGCACAGAAATGCCACAGTGCAGTTGTGTCAGGTGCGTGCAGTTGATTACTGCCAAGAAGACAGATCCATTTTGCATCTATTTACAAATTAATGTCACCATTCTTTCCTGCCTATAGTGTATGTTTAGTGCTTTGAATTCTCTTTTGAACCAACTACATCTTAACTAGTTTCCTCAGTAATTAATGAGTTAAATAAAATCTTTGACATTTGTTTTTTATCTGAGTAAGAGTCATGGTTTTAGTTTTATTTAAAAATTATCTTTTAACAATTGTAATAGGCCAGATTTCTTCTGTTTCAAGAAGAAAGCAAACATTGATGATTGTTTTCTTTTCTGGGAGAGCAAAGGCCTTGGGATTTGGAGCATTCAGCTAAGATCCATGCCCTCCTGTCTCTCCTCCCCGCCACCAATCTCCCTACTGAGGGCACTGGTGGTGGGCCCACCCAAGAAGGCACTGCCTGCATACTGAGCACCGGCTGGCTCCCTTGGCAACTTCCCGCACAAAGAGGTGCAGCCGCAGGGACTGCAGGAGGGAAAGGCGCTATATTTCAAGCACCACGAAAGAGCAGCCAGATCCCTTCCACACTCTGCCCCCATCTCCTCCCACCCACTTTTTTACTTACCTGTGTGCCAACCACAGGGCACCGTAAGGCCCAGCGGCACATTATCCAGCTCTGGGAACAACACCATTTCCCTGTAGGATTTGCTCTCCTCCCATCTCACATGGGATGGTTTTAAGTTCCCTTTCATGGCTCAGGCTATTTAGGTCTCTGCCTTTTCTGCCTGAAAGCTGCCCTGCGGGGCTTCTCTGAGTGTAGACAGCTACACACACGATGGGCCCTCCCCAGGCCCCTTCAGAGTCAGTGGTGGGAACGAGGCTGTGGTACATGTGAGTTAGCCACAGAAAAGTCCTTAGTTTCATAGTGATCTATTTATTGTCTATCTATTCGTCTATCAAATGTATTCATTTTTGGTGATGATTTAAATATAGGTTCCTGGCATCTATTTCATTTGCTGCTTTTGGAATATGTGATTCATATACTTCAGTCATGCATAGAGGAGGAAGAGGAGGAGGAGGACGTGGGGAATGTCAAGGAAATGCTGCCAGATGACCAGTCTCTCATCCAGCCAGACCAGGCACTTTTCCAGCCTCCAGACTCTCCACCAACTCAGGCGTGTGCAAGCCCGGGTGTGGAGCCACCCGGGGTGATGCTGAAACACACGGGCCGATGTCTAGTGGGTCTGAGCAGCGTGGTCCTCAGGGTCCTAGGCTTCCTGGTGGACACTGCCACAGGCAATAAGGTAGAGACACCAGGATCCCCTTCCACAGAACTGTTTTCCACCTCATCACTCCAGGTGATTAGGAAACCCATAAAGATCACATTGTCCAAACAATGATAAAGGATTATAGAATCATCTTTGCTTTAGGTGATTTTGCAAGGGGTGATTATAATAGCTTATCTGTGGATCACTGGGCAGCTCAGGTTTGTGGTGCATTGATATGTGCCTGTTGGACACAGGCTGGACAGGTCAGAGATGGGCCCTAATACTGTGAACAGGACCCAGACTGATGAATAACGGAAATTCCTCCATTGAGGAGGGGGGAGTGGGCTGGTTAAAAAGCAATTGTCTTACTACTAATTTCTAAAACTGCTATACATGTTTGATCTTTAGCCACTACACATAGTCTTCTTTTTGTGCCCAAAAGTTCCCCTCTTGAACAGATGAGTTGTGCTTAGTAGGAGACCATTAGAAGCTGATGTATCACCCTCGACACAGTTCATGGTGGTCACAGCCTAAAACTGTTCACATCCTATAGTCCTCAGAATAATTGGAACCTTCCAGGGACCTTTCCTTCTTGAGCAAATCTCACTCCAAGTTCTCCAGAGTGCAGAGATCCTGTACAAACCGTTACTGAGCACTGCTTGGATGAGACGCCATGCTAGACAAAAACAATATAAGCAGGAGCCAGGGGAATGCAGCTCTCAGGTTTACAAGTTCTCTCTCTGTCTGTATTTAGTCTTTGTTTTTTCACACGAAGATAGTAAATTCATACATCCAGTTGCATTGAGTATTCTCGGTGCAGGATATTCAGATGTGTGTCGGTAAATGAGAAACTCACTTCTCTGTGAGTGTGTATGCGAGGCAGACATAATCAATACAGCATGAAATAGTGAAATACTGACCCCAAACTGGGAACCTGATGTACCGGTGAGAGCAAGGCCTCCTTAGAAGGGGGCAGTGAAGGCACCATTCAGGGAGCAGGTGTTTCAGGGCATTTGGCAGAAAGCAAGCCCAGTCAGGTCTGAAGACCGTGCCCAGGAGAATGACTCTCCCTGCTCCTGATCCCCTGGGGAGTATACCCAGGCCTAGCAGCAGAGCCTTCAAGAGTTGGCCAGCAGCAAGCTCACCTGAATATATTCTGGAGCATTCTGTGGAGCCCCCACAGGACCAGCATTAATGCTGGGCTGCAGCGTTGAGCTCCAAGCGAGCAGTTCTCTCTGCTCATCAGCTGGGGCAAGAGGTGGGGGACCATAGCATAATAATTCATTAAAAAAAAATCATTCAATCATACTTGTTAAAGCACAGTAAGGAAGGAAATCTATTCAGGACCATCTCCATAGGTGTAGGGACCACTGCAATGGGGTCTTGCAGTGGGAGAATGATTGGGCTCAACTCTGAACACAGCATGGGCAAGTGGGAATTTATAGCCAAGGATCAGGGTGGGGGCAGTGGATGGAAAATTACTAAGAGGAAACGTCATAGGCAAGGGGGATTCTGGCTAAACCTACCTGACAGGATTCTTGCAGAAGACAGGCCAGTGTGATCAGATGTCACCCAGGTTGCGGGGATGGGAGGGGGATAAGGAACCTGATCAGATATCGAGGGTGATCAGATATCCAGGATGGGGCATTCTTGCTAAATTGACTTAGCAGAGTTCTTGCTAAAACTGGATTTTACAAGGAAGCGGGTGTAGGAGAAGGTTCAGGAGCCTGACTAAAGTTGGGCCAAGCAGAGAGTCTTCGTCAAAATTTACATCCTCCCTAGTCAGCTAGGTAGCCAGGAGTGAGCTTTCACCTCTTCTGCCACAGTCAGAAGGGCTGGAGAGCAGACACTGACAGTTCTCCTGTGCTGGGCATTTCCATGCATCATTTCGTCTCAATGAGATAGGCGTGACCACCCCCATTTCACAGATGGCTTAACTGAGGCTCATGGAGGGATTGAGTCATTTCCCCAAGGTCACCTCACTAATAATTGGGAGAGCAGGGATTGACATCCCCACAGATCTCCTTCCAAGACTGTCCTTCCCAGCATTCTCTCTCCCAGAGAGTATTCTACCAGGTGCTTAAATTCCAAAATTGGTGGCTTGGGAATAAATTAAAAATATTTTCAAGTCTGATAAGGGGGCAATTCTGGTATATAATTTCCTGGGTTCAGATTCTACCTCTTCCACTTATTAGCTGAGCACCTTGGGCAAGTTGTTTGATTTATGGGGATAATAATATCTTATCCATACGGCTGCTATGAGATTTAAATAAGTGAATGATTATAAAATGCTTAGAATATTTCTAAGAACATAGTTAAGGACCCAATAACCACTAGCCATTGTTATTATTAATATTTCTCCAAAACAATCTCCTAATCTGAACACCTTTCCTTTTTAAAAAAAATTTTTATTTGTATATATTCATGGAGTACAAGTGCAGTTTTGCTAGTTTGAGATACTGCATTGTGGTGAAGTCAGAGCCTTCAGTTGAACACCTTTCCCTAACACTCTCAACCCAATCCCCTAGCTCCTCTGAAGTTCATTGCAATGAGATTTGACCTGTATTTAATTGGTGGGAACAATAGAGAAGATATTAAATACTTAATTGAACTACATAATAAGGCAATACAAGCAGACGAGTGTCAGATAATCCAGGGCAATATACATTGAGATTAATTAAACCTGCTTCTGTTCGTTCATGCCTACTGAATTAGCTATAATGACTTAAACGATCTAACGCCAAAAAGTTACACTCATCTAATTTTCATTGCATTCATTATTCAGCATTTGCACTCATCATCAACAAAAAAAAGCACACCCTCTACGTCCCATCTGCATTCATCTGCCACAAGTTAACGCCCCACTCAGCTGAACATCTGTGGCAGCCTCTTTGTTTGAACAATTTAGCACTGCCCTGCACCTATGATGACTAAAGTCAGCATTCTAGATTGCCATATCCATCTGTCACTCTTCTACATTCTAGCGACTTTCAAAATAGTAAGATGTCAAGGTGTGTTAAAGAATAAAGTAAAAGATTATAACGGTATTAAATAAAGAATATTCTTTTTAAAGAACAAACTACATGGTTTTCATTTTAGATCATGTACTCAAGGATTAAAGCAGAGCAAAAAAAAAAAAAACTTTTTTAAGTGACTCTTCAGCTCCAGGGTAAAGGTGAAGATGGTTTTTTGAGAAAAAATGAAGACACGTTTCCTCTGGGTGGTGATGATTGTTGTCAAATTTAGGGAAAGAGTGAGAAATGTGCTTTCATGAACCTTGCATTCAAAGTTATCATATGTGCATCTTTGGCAAAATATATTGACTTATGGGGGATATATGGATGAAGTCAGACCAAGAAAATACGTGTCTATTGGTTTTAAAGTAATCATGCAAATCAAGGATTTGCAAGTCTTCCGAGTTCCCCTGGAGTTAAGGGGATGGTACATTCTCCCTGTTTCTCTGATAGGAAGACTTGCTCAGGCAGGTGAAGGGCTGGAGAGAGCTGGCACTTACACAACTTAGAAACTGTGAGTCTCTCAAAGCTATTACTTCTTAACTGAGTGTCAGTTCAGCCAATATCATATGACTATCTTCATAGGCTTTTCCCTCCATCTAATGGCATATTTGATGGGTGGGGGAAGGAGAGTCTATGCGGGAACTTGAGCCAACCACATCCACTCCAGAGACTTGATGAGAATGCAGGGATTGGTGTCCACCTGGAAGGCAGCCAAAGTGATGGAGAATTCATAGGTGCATTTCACAGGCCCCCTCCTGATTTTCAGGACTGGTCCACTCTCTCCCATGTCTGTACAGGAAGAGTGTTGGTTTGCTCTCACTGGACCTCCAGGGTGTTTCTCACAAACAACTGCAAGCCCCTCTTCCTTTTCTTACAAAGAGCCCATCTGCTCCCCTACCCCTTGCATCATACCAAGATTGCAAGCCCTCCCACCAAGTCCTCACCAGACCCTGAGCTTTTCCTGGAGAAATTAGGGTTTCCTTTAGTAGGAATAAATGTGCAAACTTCCTCTTTCTGTCCCAGGGTTGGGGCACAGGAGTGGTAGAAATATTCAAGTGGTGGTTCCTGCAACAGAGAATAGTATAACTTTCTCTTTTTATCTTTTCCTTTTACACATTTCCCCCTCGCAGCTCATCCAGGTATTGTTGGAAGACAAGGCCACCAAAAGCACTGTTGAACTCAGCCTTCCTATGGGACAAGAAGCCCTCGTAACCCTAAAAGATGGACAAAAATTTGTGATTCACATATCAGATGTAGCCCAAAGCTCTGAAAATATTTATTTCAGAGAAAGCAATGCTAATATGTAAGATTGTTTATTTAAATAGGGCATGAAAAAACTGATAGACTTGCCTTCTTAAAACTATATTATTAATAAATATAAAGCTTTCATATTGATATGAAAGATTTTATGGACATAATAGATGTACCATTGTCTGTTCTGTATTTATATGTATTTCAAGGAGTTAGTTTTGATCAAACATATAAACTGATTTGGTGAATAATTTTTGCCTCTGTTGCTTTTCTTCTGGGGTTTCCAAAGTATTTCTGTTTGGGGACTTGAAAAAAAATTGAGAAATCTTTTTGAGAATAAAGAAATGGTTAATTCTCCAAAGAAAGATAACAAAGTTTGAAGACTCCAAACTGGCACAAGCAGTAAAATGCCAGTGTTAATATTTTTCTTCCCCTCGGTAGTGCCTCAATCAAAACAGAGTTTGTAGCTAGATCTCCTCAAGCAATGAGGAACAGAAAAAAATTCAATTTGTTACCACTGTTTAATTCACTCACTGGTCTATTAAACATCTTTTGTTCACCATTCCAGTTTTCTTAAAGTGAAACAGAATTTTGAATGCAACAATGTCTGCAACAAATGCTGACGTCCTGCTCTGAATCACATTTTAGTTCTCTTTTTATAGCAAAATCCTAAAAAAATGTTGAAACTAAGAATAGATCATTATTATACCAGATCCACTTTTATGTAACTGATTATAGTATTTAAAATGAATTTTAAAATTAATGCTCAACATGATTTCTGGTATCAATGGAAAGAATAGGGAATATTTTATTGATCTCATATTACACATAAAATAGACTAAATTTCCTTTACATACACATATGAAATGAATTTACGTATGAAATGAATTACATTTCCCTAAGTGATCAGAAATTTAAAAAAAAACATAGGAACTATATGTCCCTAGATCCATTAAGAATTATTCATTTTTATGGTTAAAAAGTAATCATATTTTAGAGACCTTTACAACTGCATTTAATATATTATCTCACATCTTAAGCTATCAGGAAGAGTTGTTGTTCTTTGTCAAAGAATAACTCAAAATGACAATTATTCTTTTGATTTATTCTTTTGCTCCCTGCTCAGTGACTTTGCTTGTCATTTATCTGCTCACATGTAAACAGACAGTTGGTGGTGTGAGTCACAGAACAAAGGCAATAACAGGATTTATAAATCTGGGAAGGGCAAATTTTGTTTGCATATTTGGGGTAGACTGATTAGCTGAGAACTAGCAGAGGTCATTCTGGGCATTCTGTCCTTGAAGGCCTAGGTTTATCAAAGGAAACAATTGTTTACCTGTAGAGTTAGAAGTTAGAATAGGGAATTAGGGTGGGCAGAACGGGAAGGAGGTGGCTTCTGGGACTGTTGTGATTTATATTGTTGTGGTTTCTTTTTAATGGTGGGGGTAGGGGGTTTGGTTTGGTGTGTTGGTCAGGTGAGACACAATGAGGAGGTGAAACCAAAATGCATGAAGCAGAAGAAATTTATTACTTACAGACCTCAGAGAGGTTAGGGATGCCGTGCAGCTGGAGGCCAAGGAGAGGTCTGGGGAAGTGGTAGCCATATCAGCCAGCAGGTGGGGAGAGAGAAAGAGAGAGAGAGAGGACCTGTGGGACCTGCCTTTATTAAAGCCATGGTCGTTATCCCTTGGGTTTTTTCTCAGGGATTGTGGATTGGCTAATTTAAAGAAAATATGCATGAAGGCGGACTCATTTACACAACTTTGATGTTGACCATTGGGTTTTCTTGTGGTCAGCAGCTACGGGCTGTGTTAGGTTTTGTGTCAGTGACATGAGAAACAAGCAGGCTGTATTGCAAAACCCATACAGGGAGGGAAGGTTTTAACCAGGCCAAAGACAACGGGGTTCCACTGGGTGTCAGGTCGAAAAATGGATGCCTAAGTAGCAGCTCTATTAAATTTATGCCAGGGACCCACATGGTGTTCTAGTTCTTGGTCTGGGGGCAGCCATACAGTAGAGTGTGTTCACCCTGTGAAAATGTCACCCATAGTTAATGATTTGATTTGATTACTTTTCTGCATGTATTATATATGAAAATATACCTTAACAAATAAAAGGCATTGCCCACTTTGTGGATATTGGATTGGAGGTTCCTGGTGGGAGAAAGGCTAAGAAGCACACAGGAGGATTCCAAGAGAAAGTGAGCTGGATTCAAAAAGCCACCGGGGCCAAAAAGCAAATGTGAGAATGAAACTGCACCTGCCCGGTAGGTATGTCTTTGTTTTAAACTCCCAATCCTCCTCCCTGATGAGCTGAAACAGGAGTCCATGCAAGGAGAGAAAGAAAAAAGAATCCAACCACATCAACCTCCCCACCACAGGTCTTGAGTCCGAAAGCAGTTAGCCAGCAGAGAGGAGAAGACTTCGTCTTTAACAAAGTTTGACATTTTGATGATTACACTGAACCAGACATTTTAATTACTGAACAAAGACGGTTCCTATGATTGAATGTAACCAATAGTCTATTATTTCAAAGTATACATGAATGTGTAAAAGCCCCCTGCTCTCTCCACAAAACTTAGATTTTTATTCAAGAGCCAGAAATAACCCACAGAGCAGGTTGCAAAGATTGTTTTCTGCTTATATCATGGATCAGTTCACTATTGCAGCAAAACTAACAAATCCTTAAGGGCTTAAAACCACCACCATTTATTTATCATTCCTCACCAGTCCACAGTTGCTTGGGTGGTTCTGCTGATCTGGGATGGATTCAATGAATCTCACCTGGGCTCTCTCAGCCCTCTGAGGTCCCTGACAAGTGCATAAGGGGCTGGCTGGTCTGGGATATCCTGAGCTGTCCTCCATGTTGCTCCCACATCCTTCCAGCAGGCTAGCCCGTGCATGTGCTCATGGCGGGGTGAGGGGTGGTGTCCAAGAGAGCAGAAGTGGAAACACACAAGCATGTCTTCATACCTCCACTTGCATGAGGTGTGTTTTTGTCCCATTAGCCAAAGTAAGTCACATTGCCAAGCTCAGAGTCAGCAAGAGAGGCACTCCTAATGGGTGTGGATGCAAGGAGTTGTCAAACACCTGGAGTTGTCCACCAAGTCACTCTAGCACACACCGCGTCCAGTTTAACTCCCTCAAAATGACATCCAAAGCATTATCCCCATTGTTCCCTCAAGGAGACAGTCACTAGTGGAAATGACCTGTTCAGGGTTATCAAGCAGAAGTGAGATCCTGACCATCTGTCCACATCCCACAGTCACCCCTTCAGCTGTGGCATTATTACTGCACTGGCCTCTGTACAACCTAAGTCGATGTGAAACAAGTATTTGATCCACAAGTACACACAGAGGCAATATTATTTTCTGAAATAGTAGTTTGAAATAGAAATAATAATGAGACTCTGTCCAGACAGAAATATCCCTAGGGCATATTACTGATTGTCAATATGGTGATTACAGAAAGAGAGGCACATCACATTTCTCTTCACAGTAATGAGAGCTACACCAGCACAGATCTTGGAACATAAATTTTCACTTATGATGATGATAAGTTGGAAGCCCACTAACATTCTGGCAACAGACAGATTTTTTCAAAAACAGATATTTGATCTAAAATTTACAGCCATGTGTTCCAAAATTAAGTATTTGTCATGCATTTATTCTTTTACCAGGTACTCTTTATTAAATGCTGGAGATTGCAGGGGTAGAAAGGTGGGATACCTGACCCTTATGATGGGTCACGGCCAACACTCCTATAACAAAAGATAGGTTAATAAGAGAAGAACATAAAAATTTTTATTTAATATTTAACCAAAGTTTCATATGACATAGGAGCCTTCAAAAATGAACAAAGATTCAGGGAAAACTGTCTGTTTTTTTTATGTTTAGGTCTGATGAAGAATCGACAGGCATGAAGAAATGTGACTGGACAAAAATCCCGTTTTTACATCTAACGGTGATAGTCTGAGTGGGGAAACCCAGCAAGGCCCGTCTGCTCAGATTCTTCTTGATCTCTCTGTGTGGCATTCCCTCCCCCTAAGGTATAGGGCAGGACCCCCTTCTGGAATGAGATCTGATGACCCACAATCAGACAAGGTAGATCAGATAATTTCTTTATGGCCAGCTCCTCCACAGAAAGTCAGGGGAAGGTAAAAGTATTACTTCTAGGTTTTATGGTCGGCTTTGGGATAGAGGGGTTCTTGTCTCTACCACCTGCCTTGGGAAAGAGGAATTCTAGTTTCTATGACCTGTCTTAGGGGAAGAAGGGGAGCAGGAGAAAGGAGGATAGGAAAAGGTCAAAAGAGACTTTGCTTCTGAGCCCTTCCAATGTGCTTCACTTCAAAGCACTCAGCGGGCCAAAGTGCCATACTTTGGGGTATCATTTGTTGATTCCCTGACAGGATCATCCATGAATAAAACAGGCAAATCCCTGCTCTTATCAAGCTTATGTTTCTGGTAGTGAAAGACCAACACTAAACTAATCAGCAAATAAAAGCAAAATATCTTAGGTGGTGGTAAGTGTTAGGGTGAAAATAACACGCAATAAGGGAGTGGGAGGGATGGGGATGCTGCTTCTCACAGGACATGAAAGCAAGGCCTCTCACAGGGCGAAATTTGAGAGAGATCTGAAGAAAGTAGGAAAAAGGAAAGGTGTGAGAGTCTTCTAAGAAGGGTAGGAAAATGAATCAGAGAAGCGAGGTAGCACTGCCAGGCAGTTCCGATGCACCCTTGAAGTTAATGGCTATACACTTAAAGTGATTACAGGATTTAAAATCATTATTAAGGAGTTCATCACCACTGGACCTGCCTTGTAAGAAATGCTAAAGGGAGCTCTTCAAGTTAAAACAAAAAGATGCTAGATAGCAACACGAAATCACGTAAGAATATAAAGCTCACTGGTAAAGGTAAATACAGAGACAAGGACAGAACATTATAATACTATAGTTGTGGGGCACAAGTCACTTTGAATTCTGTCATGGAAGTTAAAAGACAAAAGTATTTTTAAAGCTGTAACTATAAAAATGTGTTAATGGATACAAAAAGATGTAATTGATGACATCGATAATATAAAGTACAGGAGAAAGCAAAAGAGTAGTTTTCACATGTGATTGAAATTGTTATCAGTTTGAAGCAGATTGTTGTAACTACAAGATGTTTTATATGAGTCTTACGGTAACCACAAAGATAATACCTATAGAGGATACACAAAAGAAAATGAGAAAGGAATCAAAGCATGTCACTA